TCTAGATTACATATTCATAGAATAATTTTGCAAGAAAATTTTGTTTTTTTTTAAAACTGTTATTTTTAGATAATAAAAAATGCTTTTTTAAGAATAAAAATCAGTTTTAGAATAACCTTTTAGTATATTGCAGATCATTTCTATATTGCATAAAATATCTGATAATTTTACAACCCTACTTGTATTGCTAAATGCCAGTCTAAATCTAATAGATCTGATCAGAAATTGCATAAAATTACAATAACGATCAAAGTATGCAATATAATCTGCATTTTAGATTTGGCAAAGTTTATAGCAGGTTTTTTTCCTGTTGTTGATGAATTTAGTGATAATATCAAAATTGCTAAATGGTAAAAGCTTATTATTATGACATTTAGTTTATGGTGAATAACTATAAATGCTGTAATAGATTTGTAACCAATCAAATATGTTCAAATGGACAAATTCCAGATTAGATGGTAGAGATTTTGTGTACAGTTTGTCTCTGAGTGTTGTCTAGAGAAAATCTATCATTGGGCTTTTAATTATATTTTATGATAAGTTATCACAAAATATAATTCTAAATATTACAGTATCACAATGATTTAAAATATCACAATCAAGTAATCATAAAGCAAAGGTAATTTTAATTATAAACAGATAGTTTATAGCCATAACTAACCAAAAATATTAAAGTACAAAACTTCATGATTGAATTATATAAATAAAAATTTGTTTGTGGACTAAATTTGGTCTGAGACAACAATGCAAATGATGATTGAAGTATGTAATATGATCTGCATTTAGGTTTTGCTATGACGTTAATGTTATTTGCTAGTAACCAATCAAAACTGCTAAAATATACAAACTCTGAATTAGATAGTAAAAAATAACGGGCTTTAATTCTGATTGGTCAATCACTAAATATATTGTCATATATTATACAGCATATACCATCTGACTTTAAATGAATTTGTAGCCATAAAAACGAACTGTTAAAAGATATGGCATATGACTTTTGAAACTATACTTTAGACTCTTTAATATATCAAACTAGGGGTAGCTGCATGACACAGTATTGGGAAATAACAAGGTCATATCATCTTTTTTTAGATGACCAAGATCATATAGTCATATGACTATTGGTCATATGTCATAAGGTCATAAATTTTATGACCAAATAATATGACTTTGATGACTTGAGGTTATAACGTTATAGCCTTGGTCATTGGGTCATAACATTATGATCTATATAATATTACACAATCTTATCATTGATGATAATATATGGAGTACATATATATTATATAAACAAATATGTATGCTTACCATATATGTATTAAAGTTTTGAACAATAAAAAAAAAGCAAATTTTTTTTTAGTTCTTATGACTATAAAGATGATTCGGCAGCCTAGCTTTTAATTTCATTTTAAAAACCATATCTGAATAATAAATATAGTCAGAAATTTGATCTGGTTAGTATAATTTAAAGATCTTAATTGTTTAAATTGTTTAATTTATTCTCAAAATATAAGTAATAAGCTAATAGATTTTTATAATTTTTTTTAACCTGAAGGTTTTATAGACTTATTACAGATTCTTAAGCATTTTTACTTTGCAATAGTTTAGAGAAGGTTTATATATAGGCCAGGCTGTTATAAAATTTTATTGGTAATTTTTTTTATAACAAAACTGATTATTCAAATAATAAAATGAAAACATTAGCCGCATAACTTTAGAGAATTTTTTCATTTAGTCAAAAATGATAATAACAAATCAAATGCCAAAGCTGTATATATTTGTTGTATTCAAAAAGTTGGAGGTTTAGCTATTGCACAAATAACATCTGGATGTTTTATTTTCAACAAAGCAAAACTTTGTTGCAATCATCTTGCAAGCTATAAAAACTTTAAAACAGCTTATAGTAATGAAGAGGTTGCTGAAATTTTATCTCGCGCTGTTCCTGAAGACATAAAAAGGAATAAAAATCATTATGATAGTAATTTTCTAGTTAAAAATACATATTATTGTCAAGAAAAAATATGACTTTGAGCTTTTAAGCTTGTTATTTATTATTTATTAGATAGAAATTGTATTGTATATATTACTATTACAATTAGATTTAATAAATTATAAATAATAAAATTGAAAGCCAAAGTTTATTTTTTCTTGCCAGCAGTTATATATTTATGAATTGTTGTTAAATTTATTTATTTTTTTTAGATACATCTGAAGAAAAAATAATAGCAAAGTAGAATATTTAGAGTTACAAAATTTATCAAAGCGCCAAAAAAGTACTGCTTCAACAGTATCAGTATCATCTGCAGCATCATCTGTAGCATCATCCACTTCTTCACTTTCTAAGCAAAATTCTATTACAAATTATAGTGCTCGTTCTATGTCTATTAATG